AAACATTTCTCTTTGTTTCATCACAGATCAAAATCTGGGTTGGCATGACCAATGTGCCTAATGTTGGCATCAGAGCAGAGGGCTCTGTGCCTTTCATGGGAAGCAGGGTAGGCAGGGTGTGAGGAAAGCTCCCCACCATGGGAAGACCATGTCTGCGGTGTACTAGTCTAATGCTCACAATTTTCACATGCACGCGAACACAGAGACACTCCACAGGAGTGCCACAAATATAGCTATCGTGTTCCTCTACACATGCCGTCGGCATCAGAGCAGAGGGCTCTGTGCCTTTCATGGGAAGCAGGGTAGGCAGGGTGTGAGGAAAGCTCCCCACCATGGGAAGACCATGCCTGCGGTGTACTAGTCTAATGCTCACAATTTTCACATGCACACGAACACAGAGACACTCCACAGGAGTGCCACAAATATAGCTATCGTGTTCCTCTACACATGCACACACGCCCACATCCCTTTGCTTAGCTGCAAAACTCAGGATACCCAAGCTTGGTCCTTCACACCTCCCCACTGTGGGAGGAAGCCACCAGGGCACCATGACACCACCATCTGCAAGCCTTCATTCCACCAATAGTTGGCAACAAGTCTAGGCCCCAAATGAGACCACCACACGAGACTCCTGTCGAGACTTTTCCCCTTGGGATAGTGGAAGTGGTGAAAAGGCCCCTCTCAGAACATTTCACATTTCCATAACTGTGCAGTTCCAATTTGTATGCACCTCAAATTTGACAGTACAGTTGGCAGCAGATGCACATTTCATATGTAAACAATGTTTAAAATACCCTGTTAGAGAATTTAGTTATTAAATTAATTCTGGCAGCTTTAGCTAAGAATGGTTTTTTACCAGGATTGAGGGGGGTGGGGATACTACCTGATCTAACTAGGAAGACCCACGTGAGGATTGGGAGTTCTGGAACATGAAATTCCACAGGTCCCTTCAGCATGAAGGCTAGGAGGCAAGTGTTCTTCTCTCTCCCTGGGGTTCACACAGTCACTCCCGCCCTCACTCACAGATAACAATGTGCCACCATGGCAGGGCAGTGCCCTAACACTAGTGGGACTCAGTGGCCTTCTTGGCCTTGCCCACCTGTTGCCAAGGAAGGAAGAGATTCTCAATGATGCTGGACAGGAATACAAACACTGGAATATCAGCATAACCTAAAAAGGCTCATCACTACACAATAGGAGAATGCTTCAGCCCAATTCTCCATCACCTGCACTCTGGAGCTCATGTCTAATCATGTGCTGTTTCATTTTGTCAAGCTGAAAGTTCTGCAGCTCTGCAATGAATCCAAATTTATTGGTGGTGAACTATCCCAATATTATCTCCACCACATTCTCTGTGAGTCAGTCCACCTGGAGACTGGCCTCTTCCAGGCTCCTCTTCCACTTTCTGGTCTCTCTGCTGAGGATTCATCTCCTGGGCACTGCTTTTTGTTCCAAAGTCAGCTTTTTCCTGGGTAGGTAGAGTAGGTTCCATGCTGCTCACTCACCCTCCAAGGAAGAGTTTCCTGACACATTTTCAAGAATAGCTCCAAGGTACCATGAAAGCATTTTAGGAAGGTTCTACACACAGCCAGATGTTCACAGTGATCTTCTTAGCCACACCTCCTATTTCATGTTCAGTCCCAAAAGGTCAGAGATCCAGAAGAAAGCTGCTTCTTGATAGCCAGGAGATGAACCTTTCTGAGAAAGCATGTTCCCAGGAAGCAAGCTGGAAAAAGAGTGTCAGCCTCAGTTCCCATTCTCCCCCATCATAATTACATGACCTGCATGGAAGGGGGAGGTGGAGAGATAGGGAAAGTATTAGGCACCGTGAGAGCTGTTTGTGCTATGGGAATTCACCTCCCTTTGCCAAGCTGTCTGTCATCCTAAGAGATCAGTGATGTGCAGTGTCACAGGGAGGCAAGGGCAGAGCATACATGAAGCAACAAACAGGTTATATGATGACCCATCGCACAACAGTCAACTGGTGCTACATTCCCTGGCCATTCGACTTCTGGAAAAGTCCTTGGTAAGATTGAGAAAGATCTGCAAACTGTATCTTTCTTCATGGCAGCTCCACTTCAGAAGTCATGAAGAACATCTCCCAAGACCCTTTCTGGAAATGCAAGAGTAGGCCTAGGCTAAGATGGGCAGTGACCACAGCTTTTCACAATGGTTCAATGGAAATGGAAGAAACAACCAACTCCATGGAGTTCGCCCCTTCTCCCAGAGGTCACCTGGGATTCCACAAAGACCTCTCTCCTAAGCTGTGAGGTCCCAGCACTGGGGCTGGCCACTGCATTGTGACAGCACATCACAGATGTGAGCCCAGGTCTTCCAGTTATTCTTTCCAGGGGTATAGGACAAGTGGAGAATCAGGAACCCTAACTATGAGGGGTACGGAGGTGGTGGAAATTGCATTTGCATTATTTACAGATTAGCCTAGCACAGCGAATCTGCCTTCTCAGCACAGTGAACTAAGGCATTATGAAGGGTGAGTTGCTGATCCAGAGAAGGGTGACAGTGGCAAGGTGCTACAAGTAACCGAAACACAAACACAGGTAAATGCAGTAGAGTCTGAGATCCGGCAGCTGGGCCAATACCCTGGAATGACCCTTCATTCCCTCCTCACCCCCAGCCCACCACCCCAAATGCCACCACTATTGAACACTTATGACATTTCACATTAGAATATGGTCTTGGCAGCAAGGGGAGGGGAAAGCCGGTGATTTCCAAGAGTCCCCATCTGAGGTCTAACTGAGCCTCCTCTGGCTTTGGGACAGCAAATCTAAGTACATTTTGGACCTCAGGAACCTGGGGTAAGAGTCTTTCTCCATGAGGCTGTGTACTTTTCCCTGAGCTTGGTCAAAGCAAGTCGGGGATGGCTCCTGCAGGTTCTTCCTCGTGGCTTCTCGGGTCTGGAAGTCAATGTTTACCTGGAGACACAAACAGAGAGCAAGGTCACAGCCCTCAAGGGCCAAGGTGCCTGGCAGTTGGCCCTAGCTATGTAATAATTACTAACGGCAGCAACTTGTAACTGTAAAGTGATTTCTGTTTTCAGACTGCTTTCATGGAAGCCATCCCTTTTGATCACAGCAAGAATGCTGTGAGGTCTGAAGACAAGATATTCTTAGTCCCAATTTATAGATAAGGACACTGAAGAAAAAAGAGACTAAAAAGATTGTTTACAGTAGTATGGGAAGTTAGTAACGGAACTAAAGCAAAACCCCAAATCACTTGAATCCTAATCCAGGGATCTCAGGCAAAGGGTTAGATTCAAGGCAACGAATGCCCTGTGAAGAGACACCCCAGTTAGACTGTACATCTCTGCTCCAACCAGCATCACGGGGGCCTTGAGCATCCTCGCCAACTGGTAAAGACCTCATGCATCCCAAGTCAAAGCATAACTGAAGAGCTCAAGATATGCAATGCACCTAAACTTATAGACAGCAAACATCTTTCTTCTATTAAACTCTTTCAAGTAAAATTCTGCATTATAACTCCAAATAGCAATACATAGAAATTCATCTTATTATTAGAAGTAATTAAAATAATATAAATAACTTTAATTACTCGTTAATGAGCATTTTTGTAATATTTGTAATATTGAATATATGTTTCCAATATTTGTAATATTGAGCAGATGTTTTATCCCTAATACTCAGTGTAGTCTTTTCATTGTGGAAAATGAGACACAGAGAGGTTAAATAACCTGACCGAGATAACACAGTTAGTTAGTGGTGGAGCTGAGATTGGAACAAAATCTCAAAGCAAACACTTGTTCCACTAAGTTATGCCACCTGCCACCAGGAGAATGAACGTGAATTCAGTGCCATCTATCCTTGCAAAATTTCTGTAGCAACACAGTTCCTGCCAGCACAGGTTTGACAGGGAGCTAAAACCTTCCTAACAGAGCTCCTCTGATAGAAAAGCCCTGGGCTTCTGCTCCTTGAAAATGACCCTTTTTCATCAGGAGCCACCAGAGCAGTGAGGATCGGTTCAGTAAAAGAACTGGCTCGAAGCCTCTCCCAGGAGAGAAGCAGGAGCCCAAGCCACGGGTAGAAGTCTGACAGCATGGGCGTCACAGACAACACACCTCCCGCGGAGCCTGCACATCCACAAACTCCTCAAAGATCCTATGGGCCTTGGAGACCAGCTTTGCAGTTGACCTGGTCTTCTTGAACTCCTCACAGGCCAGCCAGAACTCCAGATTCTCCTCGCTGAACTCTGTCTTCAGGAAGGCGCGGAAGGCGGCCACCCCATCTGTGGGTGCGGAGGTGGGTAGAAGAGGAGAGAGATAGGACAGATCTTAAGTTCAAGAACTGTAGAAGAAAGAAAGAGAAAAAGAAAGAAAGAAAGGGGCAGTAACAACATAAGGATCCCCTAATTGTCCACGCCCACTGCTCCTCCACACCTCCTTGAGGACTCGATTCTCTCAGACACAGGTACCCTCAGAGGCAAGGCCATGCTTCTTATTCAAGGGTCCTAGTGAGGTCAGGGAGCAGTGTTTAGGAAGCCATAGCAGTAACAAATGCGGGTAGGTCTAGTCACTTCTAATCAGCCCTCAGTGGTCACTGCCCGTCCCCTAATGCAGAGTTGGCTGTCCCCTGGGTCTACTGGTGAGACTGTGTTGCTAATTAGGCCAAGGTAATGCACATAATCCATTCCCTATCCCAATCCAAGTCAACCACCCTGAGAAAACACACGATCTGTTACCAGACAAACTAGAGGAGGGTATGAATGGCTCAGGGCAAATCCTTTACTACTACCCGAAAAACATCCAAAAGTCAGCACCCAACTGAAATTCAGTTAGTCGTGCCCTTCTGTTACATCGCCAAGGTTCCAAGGCTCTTTTACAAAACCTTTGAGGCCCTGTATTTTGATGTTTTATTCCAGGCATTCTTTATTTTTAAAAGGATCTTGACTATCAAATTATATGTTTGAATTAGGATTGATTATAACTTTTCTACCAAATGATTTAACAATTAATACATCCTTTCACTTTTATTAAGCAGAGTCATGCATGTGGCCCAGCAGAGCTCCTAATCAGCACAAGTTGAACAATGTCCCCACATCACATTGAAAGGGAAATCACATTTATTGCTAGCCTATGCATCCAGTCAATGCTTTATTTTAAAATATTTTTTATGGATGAATTCAACCTTTAACACACTCTCTTCTAATTGAATAACAGCTATAGTTTTCTATAATCTGTCCTCAGAGAGGGGAGATACAACCTAGACCAAAGAAGCACTACACTGATTAAAACTGACTCTGTAGATAATGAGTTCTTTTCTAAAACTCACTAGAAGGACCAAATGTTACCAAGTCTTAATTCTAGATGATGGGATGACCAGGGCATCTGACGTCATCTGATATGCACCCAGGCAGTGCCCTGGCCAAGATCATGTGATGGATTGCTGGTACCACGATGCTGATGTATTTAAATGCTTATTTTTACTTTTCTGAAATATTTTTATGTCTCCTAATAAAAAGTCATTGTATATTTTTGTCTTTCAAAATAGACATTCTAATGTCCACACTAGAATGATAGTCAAAAAGCCAACACTTGTAATATCAAGAGCCAGGAATCTGAGAGAGAAAAGGGTTTTTAATGGGATTCCCAATGCTAAGCTTTAAATCATAAAGTGATTTAAGTTTAGAGGCCTGAGCTGAAAGTGTTTATGAAAAGTAGGATGGCCATGCAATTTACCATGCAAGCCAGGGCATTTTTTAGAGTAAAGGGGCACTACTGTTAATTACACAGGATGACAGGCATAAGCCATGACCAACACGGCAAAACCCAGTACACACGGTCACCTTCACTCTAAGCCACGGAGTACAGAGAAAGCAGAATGTAATGTAACGTTGCTTCCCATCAGGCAGAATCGAAATAAAATTGTTTCTGTGCTGAGGAAGGAAGAGGAAAGTAACACAGTTTAGACCCAGATGAGAGGTCTGCTCAGGGCACTTCCCACCCCATTCCTACATTGGGTTCAAAACTCTGGGAGAAGGGAGTAGAAACCCAAGATAAACTGAGGATCAAAGTGAGCCTAAAACAATGACATGGCAATGTTTAGTCAGAGATGTTCTCTGAATCATTCATTCAACTCAGTAATGTTTTTTAAACAACTACTATTATACAAAGTACAGTTCAAGCTCTTGGGGTACATCAGAGAAGAAATCAGAAAACCCTTGCCCATTAAATCCCTCATGAATACTCTCTTTGCCACCCCCACTCCACACACACACCCTGTCCCCTCCAGGTTCTTCGTGGAGGAGATCCAGAAGTTTACAGGCTCCAGAGGGAACTCAGATTTGAGAGCTAGTGTGTCTGCTTGTGGAAGGGGCCCCTGTGTCAGGGGCTACAGGCAGAGGTTGGATGGAAAAACATCCACAGAAGAAGCCTCCGAGGAGACTCGGTGCCCTTGAGAACAGAGGAGGGGCTGGTTCAGCAACCAGTTTGCAAGTTACACTATCAGTGGACATGGGGAGGACCTGAGGACCACAGGCCAGAGGCTCTCCCCTGCTGCCTCCATCTCAACACGCTTCCCACTGTAGTCAGGGAGTGGGAAGGAAAGGGGTGCGAGGAGGTCCCTAAAAGACTGCACTTAAATAAATGAGTAGCTAGGAAGTGGCTTGCAAGAGTAACTTGGAAGAGCCTGTTGCTGTTTGTAAACCAGAAGAGACTAAATTCCTTCAGTAGGAAAGTTTGTTGTTTGTGTCAGATTTTGCTATGTTTTTCATTGAACAAAAACAGGCACTTGTAAGCAAGTTCAATGTTGTTATAGATACGGGGAAAAATGACCTTTCTGCCTCCCTTAACAGTATTGGTGAAGATAACCCTGCTAAGGAAACTCTGTCTGGCCCCTTACTGGGCGAGGTGCAGACTTTTCTCTTTTAATATAGGTCTCAGCTTTGTTGGGTCTTTGTGTGGATTAAAAGAGATAACAACTGCAAAGTGCTCTTAGGAGTGTTGTTTTGTTTCCACCCGTTTTATAGATGAGGAAACTGATGCCGAGAGAAGGGATTTGCCTGATCTCACACAACTAATAAAATGTAGCATGAAAAACTTAATTTAAGGTATATTTCCCAGCCCAATATAGTAATAGTGCCGTCTTCATTCATTCACTGATTCATTCATTCATTCATTCATTCACCACTTATGTGACCCACACATTCTGCTAGGTGCTAAAAGCAGACACAGTTGTGGTCTCACAGAACTCACCATCAAAGGGCAGTTTGAGCCAAGAAAACATAATTATGGTAATTATGATCTCATGTGATAAGTTATATGCGAGGGAAAGCATGGGGTGCTAAGAAAGGACCCAGGAGGGGCGCCTGAGCCAGCCCTAAGGAGAGAAGGGAAGACCTGTGGGAGGAAGAGGCTTCTCAGCTGAGATGGGAAGTTGAGGAGAAAAAAGCAAAGCAAAAGAAGGAAGGGAAGTTGGAGAGGAGAATTTCAGAAAGAGGGAACCATACGCACAAGGCCCAGAATTTAGAAAGTTTATTTCAGTAATTAGAAATTGTCTAGTAAGACTTGGTGTTTAACAATAATACAGCTACAAATTATTTAGTCCCCCTTATAGGACAGGTACACACCAGGAAGCCTATGAAAGAGCAAGAGAGAGAGAGGACTGCACAGCGCTACAGAAGGGGCATTTCAAGAAGGAGGAAGGGGCCACTGTGTCCCGCGCTACCCAGAGGTCCAGCTGGGTATGGTCTGAGAAGGGGCTATTAGATTCAGCAGCCACAGTTCAGCAGGAACAGTTTCAGTGGCGTGATGGGGGCCGTCGCCATGCTGTGGTATGTGTAGCAATGAATGAGAGGGGAGGAAGTGGAAACAGTTCATTTAGACATCTTTTGTAAGAAATTTGGCAGAGAAGGAAGTAAAGAGAAGACAGCACAGATGGAAGAAAACGTGAGGACAGGAAAGATACATATTTTTTTTAAGACAGCCTTGGGTATGTTTAAATGTTGATCTGATCAGAAAAGACTTGGTGAGAACAAGAAGTTAATGTTAAAAGAAAGAAAGAGCCTCACTGTCAAAATGTTGCCCCTAAGAAGGTAGAAGATACAGGCCCGAGAACAGAATTAGGATGGTGAGAAAGAGGAAAGGCTGTGTGTGAATGCAGGGAAGGTTCTAGTTCAGGCAGGAGACTGAAGGAGCTTCTGTCTGATATTAGCTAGGGAAGGTAGTAAGACCTAGGGAAGGTAGGGGTGTATTTTTACTTACTTATTTAGGATATGGGGCAGAAAGTCGTGTATGTTCTGCTTTTTGCTAAGGATTTTGCAAAACACCAGCTCAATTTATTTTCACAGCAATGCTGATCCATGAGATGGTATCACTGTCACTTTCCGTAGGAAGAAGTTAAGGCTTTGAGAAGTTGAATAAATTGCCCGATTACACAGATGGCAAGAGGAAAGCCGGGATTCCCAACCAGGTCCATATGAGTCCAAAGTAAGTTCTTCCCAGGTGTGTTTGCAGGCAGAAGGGAAAGAGCGAAGGAAGAGAGAGATTAAAGAGGCAAAAGAATAGTAGTTGGTGAAAGCAAATATTAGAGAAGGAGACGGACAAAGAAAAAGTGGAAGAACTTGTCTTTTTTAAGGACAAAAGTGAAGAAAAAGAGTAGTGGATAAAGATAGAGAGAAGTGGTCAGGGAGGACCATTTCCTTGACATATTTGAAATGCGTCAAGTTCAACAGCCCTGATCGTCTTTATCAACTCGGGGTGAGGTCACTGTGAAGGTGGGCTGTGCCCACATCCCAGGTTTGGGGGCTATGGCACAAACACATCAGATAAGGTCGCTGCCTCACAGAACTTACAGGCTAGTCTAATGTACATTAAGTGATCATTTAAAATAATTCATTGAATAGTTACACATGCAGTGTGTGCTATGGTGAGGACACCTGAGAGACTGGGAAGGGCATGAAATAGCTACCTTGGGAAAATGAATATGAACGTGATAGGGAACAGGCAAACAATTGTGGAGGACGGGTTTTCAGTTCCTGGAGAGGGTTGCAATGTACCAAGAAGGAAGCAAGAACTTGTAATTTAGGGGACCAGCCATCATGCAAAGAGAGGACCATAAGTTCCAGGCTGGCAAATGAACCTGGAATCTGGAGAACAGCAAGGATTTAGGAACTGACAGTTGGAATGTAGATGAAGGATAAGCAGGAGGTTAAAAAAAAAAAAAAGTTGAAGTCAGGGAAGGGATTTTAAAATAACCACAGCAAGCATATCTATGGAGCGCTTACTTTGA